AGTCTGGTAAAGTCCTCTGTACAGTGTTGTGAAGCGCCATGGGTTCAAGATAAGAGCGCTATATAAATACAAGTTATTATTATTATTATTATTATTATTATTATTATATACAATGCTGGTATACAATCAGTTCCTGACACATTCAAAAACAGGCATACATCACTAATATGCTAACTTTACTAAGTCGGGATTGAAAGAGATGGGCAACTACTTACAAAAACACACCTACTGTTAAACGGAGGCCAGAATAAACCTGCCAGAAAAAAAAACACTTTTAGGGAAAATATGACTGGAAATCTGCGTAGGAATATCAATAATGGCCCAAACTCAGAGCAGTTAGGAGTCCATCCTACGAGGCTTCCCCGTTAAAATAAGTTTTCAAGCTAAAATAAATTTGGCATCAGCCAAAGTTGCAAGGTTGTTTGTGAAGCCTAGATGGACATCACGTGCTATACTCCCCGTTATATAACACTTCATCATTACCCCTGATTCTCGGGTTTAAGGCTTAGGCCTTGTCGTATCTCGTGCCAAAAAAATGTTTATTTCTGCCTTATTCGCAGACTCAATCGTCAGAAATACCATTGAACGTTAGAAAGAACAAATATATCGTATTACTTTACCTTAAAAGAGAGAGAAAAAAACTTTCCAATTTACTGAAATAAACTTGCACGGAGGTATTTTGTGGTCTACTGTCCTTAAACTCTCTGTCCCCAATAGCGAGCTATTGTCTTCAGTCTGCTTTTAGGCAGAAGACAATAGGCATTTGGTGTTTAAAAATATCAAAGGCCGAATTTTTTTTCCTGATTACATGGAGTTATCAACACAATTCAAAATGACGTCAGTCGACGTTAGTTAGTCTTGTTAGTTTTTTCCTTCTTTTCTCTCCATCCTTGTGGAGGGAAAAGAACTACACCTTTATAGACCTCGCAAACGTGCAGGTGAATACTGAACTGAAAAAAGAAAAAAAGAAAAAAAAAAAGAAAAAAAAAAACGGGACTCAAAGTCTTAACTGATGACAACAGTCCCAAGGTTTTTGTTCTTTATTCTCCTTGCGGCTTCTCAACTCAGCTCAGGCGCTCTCCAACAAACCTCCAGTTACGCACACTAATTATTACAACCTCGCATGTAAAATCGCCTATTTATTACACAAGAGATCCCCAAGGAAACTCGAGCTAACGCTTCACAGCGTCTAGTTCTGGTAAGGGTGTGATTATCATTATAAAAATCCTATAGAAAAAATCTTTGGGAGAATATAATTACTCATAAAACCATGACAAACTTTAACCACAATCATCGCAATGGAAGTACAAAACTAAAAAAAGTGCGAAAACCTACCGCATATGCAAATCTACAGGTTACTGTTTAAGAAAGGCCGCAGGTCACGATTTATCTGTTCGTTCCGATTCTCTTTTTCTTAAATCCTTTCGTAAAATTTTGCCACTTGCAGACTTGGGAATCTTTTCGATAAATTCCACTCCGCCGCTTAGTTTCTTATGGGGAGCCACCCTTTGTGCGATAAAATCGGCGATTTCTTCAGGAGTAATGTCCCCTTTAGGAACAACAAAGGCCTTCGGCAGCTCTCCTGCCTTCTCATCCGGGACACCTATTACGGCTGCGTCGTCGATTTTCTGATGTGAAATCAACAAGGCTTCGAGTTCTGCCGGGGCGACCTAAAGAAAAACATTTAGTGTCAGTGACTGAAATAAAAAACATTTACATGCAAGTGAACATAGAAAATATAGTTACACAGCTACTTCAACATTCATGGTGCATTCTACTGAGAGAAAAATATTTAAACTCTAGTTTTTTTCTTCCTTTTTTTTCGGCTGGCGGAAAGAGCCTGGTAACGAACGTAAACCGCGAGGGATTATGGAAGGAAGAAAGATACAGCTCCGTGCAAATAAAATTATTTACAACCTAACTCATACCCAGGCCTTCCTCTCCTAAAAAAAGTGGCGTGCAAAGGGTGAAGGGACAGTAAAAGGTGTCTCTTTCTACCTTCCTCCCATAGGTCCCTCGTGCTTTACGTTCGTTACTACAGACCTATGGCCTCTCCACTTTTGGAGTTGAGACCTTGAGCGTTGTTCCAACTCGCAAGAAAGCGGAAATTTTGCAAGGTGGAGCAAGAAGTAAAACCTTGCCTGCAATGCGTTGTACTTGATGAGTTCTTTCAACCTGTCCACGATAAAGAAATGACCATCTTCGTCATAATGTCCAATATCACCCGTGTGCGCCCATCCGTCTTTATCTACCATTCGGGCGGTAGCTTCAGGATTATTGAGATACCCTGAGGAAAATGGTTATTTTGGACCTTAAATTAGGGGTTCATAGAAAACTACTTGTGTAGTAGCATTATTTTTGTATAGGGCGTGGCTACCGCTTGGGAAACAAAAAAGAGAAGACACGTTGCAAAAATGATTTGCCCCCTGAAAGAAATGTGTCCACTTTTGTTGAAATAACGAATTACGAATTTTCGTTAGGTTTTCAGGCGTTGCCGCTTAAGATTGCTTAACGCTCGTCAGGTTTCGTTATTAAATCGGTAAACTTAGTCATCAGCCAAGGCCATGCTGTACCCCGATCAGGACACAGCGGCGGAAAACACTCCTTTAAACTGTCTAGCATTCCTACCGAGTAGAGAGAGCTGAATAAAGTTTGTGTATGTATCCAATACAACAGCATACACTTTTTGAAATGGCAGCGATTTTAAAAATCATCGATTTAATTAACCCATCGATTTAATTGCTATTTGGCAAGCGTAAGCAGAAAAATGTTGCAGAGGACTGCCCACCCGACTTATGAACACAGTTGTAACCCAGCCGACGCAAAACGCATTGTCGCCATCGAAATACACAAATTTGCAGCAAAATTTCGGCAATTGTTCAATGTTTAAGTACGGCGCGGAAGAAAGTACAACCTGTGCTGAGACTTTGAAGCATAGCCTTTCTACTAACGTCCTATCCTAGGGAAATACCCGCAGAGCTCTTCAGTTCTCCAAATGGTCCGCCATTTTAAATCTAGTATAATGTGCTTCAGCGCATGTCACAAGAGTTCGTGACATGCCGCGCAGTTGTTTCTAATCTCTGTTAGAAGAGAAGACATACTCCTTGCGGCTACACGCTACACAAACTGGGAGCAGCACCGGTTACTACGGGCAACCTGGCCTTCAACTTATTATGGTTCGCTCATAATAAAAAACAACCTTTCATTATTGTCGGTCCTCTTAAACAAATCTCGCCGTCCTGACTTGGACCAAGAACAGCGCCGGTTGTGACATCCACAATCTGTAAAAAGAAAACGTTTCTACTGAGTGTTGAAGGTGTTAATAGGTACTCGTTGCAAACCCTGCGAGCAAGGTCATATTCACACTGCTGTGCGGGAGGTGAAGCCTACTAGAGGTCTGGCTAGGGTCCTCGTGCCAGATTCCTCGCGGATCCCTTTCTTACTGCGATACTGGTGGAGCAGGCTACTCATTTCGTTTCGAGTTACGAGCGCCTTTCTCTAATCTTATGGAATGGAGTATGAATTTTCTTTGCGTTTTACCTTACATTCCAAGTTAGGGAGAAGGACACCAACACTTCCCGACTTCCTTTCTCCTCCGGGCTGCACGTGCGTGATAAGCACCTCTGTCATTCCAAACCCTGAGAGTGAAAATCAAAGTCACGCGGTTACAAGCTCTCTTCTCTCAGGTCATGAGTTTCAACGAATAAGATCTATTTTTGAGCCAATTTGGATTCACCTTTATCATAAATCGTTAGAAATATTCAATTTTAATTTTCAGAAACCGATGAAAAGCTTCTAGAGTCTAAATAAGGAAGAAAGTTCAAGTATGTTTTTACTTTACCTTACAGAATGGAAGAGGGGGGAGTGGGAGCAAGGACGCACTAGTATCCAAACTCGAGGGCGGAGCAACACCTCTAGTCACTAAGGGTATGAAACTCCCTCCCCTTCTCCCGAGGGTAGAGGGAGATTTTGTAACGAGCTTAGAGACAGCATTCAGTTCTCGCCTTATGATAGGTGGGCTTTGGTTACCTTGTCGGACGCATTTTAGTTTAGGCATCCGTTCGATGAGAGCTTCTTCAAGTCCTTTACCCATTGGCGCTGCTCCAGATGTCACCTCTTCAACGCTTGTCAAGTCAAACTTGTCAACCATGGGATGTTTGGCCAGGAAAAGTATTATGGGAGGAACTATTGGTGCATTCGTCACCTGAAAAGTGATCAGGAGCAAACAAATGATCACAACCATAGTCAGCCGACAGTAAGAAACACACTTCCTGAATAGATCACATAAACTACAAACACTAATCAATGGTGCCACATGGCAAATTTTGCCTCAATCGCTCTTGAATCCCAAGAGTAATGCGGAGACAAGTCAGCTCAAAACTAAGGAGAAACTTGCCTTTTGATCTTGCATCGTCTTTAAGAATGGTTCGGGCTCAAATCTTTGCAGGACGACAAGTTTGCCGCCTTGATGTAAGGCCATACCCATCATTACAAGCTGGCCATAGATGTGATAAAACGGAAGAATCGTCATGACAACAGAGCTCTGGTCGATTACGAAGACTTTGGCTGCTTCAATGATGCACGTGTTTGCGATCATACTATGATGGGTAATCATAACTCCCTTTGGTAGTCCTGTGGTACCACTTGAATACGGCATGGTGACAACATCATCTTTGTCCACCATGCACTCAGTTGGAAAACTGGAACCATCGTCATCAAGCAAAGAAGAAACCGCTTCACAGTCGTCAGAACCTTCACCACCAACGACAAAGATCTTTCTGATTTTACCTAGTACCTTGCACGCCTTTTGGGCCTTGTCGAGGAATGGAGGACTGGTGACAAGATAAATAGCTTGGGTGTCCTGCAGTTGTCTCTCAAGTTCTTCAGCAGTGTAGAGTGGGTTGACTGTGGTTACTTTCCCGCCAGTGTAAGCAACACCATAGAAAATGATGGGGTATTCTGGAACGTTTGGAAGGTATATTGCCAGAACATCTCCTTTTTGGAAGCCTCTCTTGATCAGAGACGAAGCGAATTTTTCAGTGAGAGTTTTAAGTTGAGTGAACGTGTAGGAATGACCAGAGGCGCCATCGATCTTAAAAAAAAAAAAAAACAAAACAAAAAAGAAAGAAAGGAAAGAAAAAATAAAGGTGACTCATGTTACCAAGTTTATAATGCTCAAATAGAATAATTGCTTGATTTATCAAGCAAGAAAAGGGAAAATATGCCAGTCTCAGCACTTGATTTATATCTGATGAGTAATTAGACAATCACTTCAGAACTAATTTTCGAATGATTAACGAGTTTTTGCGTCTATGATGATGTTGCTGTAATTCAACTTCATTTATCGTCCTAGTTGATTGCTCTTAGGACCGGGTTCGAACAGCAAACACTCATAACTGTCTCTCAGGCTCTTTTTCTGTGTTTCAGCGCCATTTTGAATCGTTAGGCGGACCTCGGTCCCTGAATCCCGGTACCCGTTCCTCCTTCCTCATTTCCCTTTCATCGTTCACCGTTGCCCGTTGCTTATTCTTTATTCGCCGTTCACCGTTCCTTATTCTCCAATTCCCCGTTCTCTGTTCGCCATTCCTCGTTCCCGGTTTATCGTCTTCCATTCTCCGTTCACTGTTCTCCTGCCTCCCGTTCCCCGTTCCCAGTTCCCCGTTCCCCGTTCCTGATTTTTTCCTTTTAGATCTTTTACGGCAACCGTCAGGAATATTGAGAAAGTTGATACTGCCATAACACGCAACTCCTAAATATTAATCTAACATTTCCTTTCTTGATGTAGCCGAATTTGACATGCACATTACAACAAACTAAGCACTAATCTTGTTACATCTATGCAACATACTCTAAAAAAACATTGCTTGCAATAAATATGCATCTTGACAAGTTCATGTCGCGCCTTTGCTTGTCGATTGTCGGCCGATGATTTCCACATTTTGTCCCTGCCTGAATTTTGACCTCGAATAGGTCGCACAAATTCAATCTAGTTTTATTCGTGCTCATGTTTCCGGCCATCAAGTGAGCAACATTGATTTGTTTCGAGGATGATATACTCAGAAAAGTTCTGTAGGGAAATATATCGCTGTCTGTAATTATCTTTTGTCTGAACCCTTCAATTCGTCTGCCAGTTTGCTTGCCACAGGATTCTTGGCACGAATTAACTCGCGATGAACCGTCGTTTCTGTAAAGAACAGGCAACCCTATAGTAGCTGACAGTTTGTTTGGTGTTCGACACTCTGTTCCAATTTTAAGCACAATTCAATTAATCGCGCACTTTTTCCTTTCAATATCTCTACGGTACTTACAATTGCGGTCCTGTCGCCGAACTCGTCAAACCTTTCATAAACAAACTCGGGCCATGAAAGATTCTCGGGAATCTGAACATCAGAGAATCGGCTTTTCATCGCCATACTGCTGGAGAAAGAAGCTTGCTAACCTTGTCTGAAGGAACTAAAATTTCTCAATAAGTGATTGGTATTGATCGTTTGAAGTTATGCTTGACATCCGACAGAGTCCCGATTTATATTTGGAAATTTATTCAGTGTGGCATGGGGGTTAATGTATTTGAAATCAATTGCCTGTCGCTATGTTTTTTCAAGCGGGCTGTTTCAATTTTCTTCCCTTTTATTTATCCATGGCATTAGCTCTCGAAATAAGCCCCAAATATTCAAATTGTCTCCAAAATGTCTGCTCTCATAAAACCCTAACAACCCGACGGTCACTTACTCTCCCCGCCCCTGAGAAAAAAAATTAAAAAACTAAATCAAAACACAACAGATAACAGACCGCGGTCTGCTCTGTGGCAATACCATTGATAAACATTTGCCGCACTGAAGAGAATAGATTTGGACCCATCCAAGTTATTTCCTGCCAACGAGCGTGGATTTCTAAGATCAGATATGGTTTTGAATGGTTAATGACATGATTTCGAGCGCAATTTGGTGCTCATATGCAAATTTTCCAGAAGAGAATAATTCGCGAGCCCGGAGGGCGAGAGCAATTTGTTGTCTTTTGAAAAACTTGCAAGTGCATAATCACATCAAATTTGCACGAGAAATCATGCTATGAAAAAATCATCACAGGAAGTCCAGACAGACGAAGTTTTGTCAGCGCGCGCTCTTTGTAATTTACCCCTGTATAACAGCTATACACTTATGATGCAGTCGTTTTCAGTGCAATCGTTTTCAGCCAATGAGACGTGCGTGACTTTTTCATGTATATTATTACAAAAGAAATACGAGAGGGCTTAAACATATTTGTCTGTCAGCTCCGAATGTATGATGATGAAAAATGCAGTCGTTTTCAGCCAATGAGACGTGCGTGACTTTTTCATGTATATTATCACAAAAGAAATACGAGAGGGCGTAAACATATTTGTCTTTCAGCTCCGAATGAATGCTAAAGAAAGAAAGAAAAAAAAAAAAATGATAGGTATTGGTCTGAAATAAGATCGGGATTTGCAGAACCGAGCGGAAAGAATGCCCCTCGGAAATATTGCTAATGGCATGTTGCGCCGTACGGTTCTCCAAGTGCCGATTATAATCAGACGGCAGGATTCTGCCGAAAGTTTGAATATTTAGAGGGCTAATCTCTAGGGCTCAGGTCGTGACTTGAACAATAAAGAAACAAAAAACCACTGTGTATGAAAATCAATCGTGACGGGCGGTTGACGCCAGTCGTCACGCACATGCAGAATGGCGTTGAAAAGCAGATTTGCTCACGTTGAGATTCCCGAAAATCTGTCATGGCCAGGGTTTGTTTATCAGAAGTTTGACGAGTTCGGCGACAGAACCGCCATTGTGAGTGCTGTAGAATTATTGAAAGGAAGTCTTTAAAAGAATTGACGGTTTATCGCGAGTTAATTTTAACATCGTAAAAGCTGTTGGAAGCTGTAGCAGGCTAATTATGTGGTATCGACACTAGATAGTTACTGAATACGACCTATGTCGGATGCATTCAGTGCCCTTGAAACAAATACATATGGCTCATTTGATGGTTTAAACATGAGCACTAATTAAACTCAGGCTTCGAGGAATTATTGAGGCAAGGAGAGTAAATCATCGGCTCTGAGGGAAAAATTGAGTGTAAATCATCGGCCGACAGTTAAAAGAAAAAAAAAAAGAAAAAAACCAAAGAAACGGTAAAACATTGTTCTTTGTCTCGCATACCGAAATATCGCAGTGTTTTAATTAGGAGATGTAAAATAATGTAGCAAAATAAGATGATAAACTCCGGCAGGCACGGCACAACAGCGACTTAACAAGAGGCATTCTTGTTGCAAACTGCTTGTTGCATAGATTTGGTTCTCTAGTGAAAAATTATGATGCAGTGCGGTAAGTTGGAATATGCATAATAAATGATGCTAAATTTTAGATTAAGGGAAGAATGAATATTTATGAACTGCATGTTATTACAACCAAAGTTATCTGCTGAATGATGATGTCTTTGTATGACAATTGTTTTTCGTTCACAAGACAGACCTCTTATTTCCTAACAGTTGCCTTTGAAATAATCTCTAGGATTTTTACAAAATCTCCACCACTTGATTCTAAATGAACACTGCTTGATTTCATACCCAAGACTTTCATACTTTCAGGAAAACCATAAAACGTCCTTGAAGCGTTGAGAAAAAGCGGTAATCCGCGAAACAATTTAAAATGGCTACATCGAGAAAGGAAATGTTAGATCAAGTGAAAATAGGTATTTAGGAGCTGCGTGTTATTGCAGTATCATCGAATGTATGATTTCTTTGCATGAGTAATTGTTTATCTTTCTCAATATACCTAACGGTTGCCGTAAAAAGTGTAAATTAAAGAACGGGTGAACGGAGAACGAGGGACGGGGAACGGGGAACGGGGAACGGCGACTAGCGAAGGGAGAACGGTGAACGAAGAATAGAAGATAAGGAACAGCGAACGAGAAATGGCGAACGGAGAACGGAGAATGGAGAATAAGGAACGGCGAAAGGCGAACGGTCATGATAGAGAATGAGGAACAAAGAACAGTGAACGATGAACGGGAAAAGAAGAAGGAAAACGAGAAATGGGAGTCGGGAACGAAGTTACAGCGGTAATCCGCATAGTAATTTAAAATGGCGGATGAAACAGCAATCATTCGATACAATGAATATATGAGGTTCATATATTTTGAACTGCGGTTATAGATACGTATGATGCACGATCCTCGCAGTAGAGAGCGCTACTTATGCAATAGCGAAAATCAGACCTGTAAAAAAAAAAAAAAAAAACAGGCCTGTACGGGATTCGAACCACTGACCTCTGCGATACTAGTGCAGCGCTCTACCAATTGAGCTAACAAGCCAACTGGGAGCAGGCCGTTAAGTTGATTCGTAATAAACCCGTGATGATAAATCAGATACGATGAATATATGAAGTTCATATATTTTGAACTGCGGTTATAGATACGTATGATGCACGATCCTCGCAGTAGAGAGCGCTATTTATGCAATAGCGAAAATCAGACCTGAAAAAAATCAGGCCTGTACGGGATTCGAACCACTGACCTCTGCGATACTAGTGCAGCGCTCTACCAATTGAGCTAACAAGCCAACTGGGAGCAGGCCGTTAAGTTGATTCGTAATAAACCCGTGATGATAAATCAGATACGATGAATATATGAAGTTCATATATTTTGAACTGCGGTTATAGATACGTATGATGCACGATCCTCGCAGTAGAGAGCGCTATTTATGCAATAGCGAAAATCAGACCTGAAAAAAATCAGGCCTGTACGGGATTCGAACCACTGACCTCTGCGATACTAGTGCAGCGCTCTACCAATTGAGCTAACAAGCCAACTGGGAGCAGGCCGTTAAGTTGATTCGTAATAAACCCGTGATGATAAATCAGATACGATGAATATATGAAGTTCATATATTTTGAACTGCGGTTATAGATACGTATGATGCACGATCCTCGCAGTAGAGAGCGCTATTTATGCAATAGCGAAAATCAGACCTGAAAAAAATCAGGCCTGTACGGGATTCGAACCACTGACCTCTGCGATACTAGTGCAGCGCTCTACCAATTGAGCTAACAAGCCAACTGGGAGCAGGCCGTTAAGTTGATTCGTAATAAACCCGTGATGATAAATCAGATACGATGAATATATGAAGTTCATATATTTTGAACTGCGGTTATAGATACGTATGATGCACGATCCTCGCAGTAGAGAGCGCTATTTATGCAATAGCGAAAATCAGACCTGAAAAAAATCAGGCCTGTACGGGATTCGAACCACTGACCTCTGCGATACTAGTGCAGCGCTCTACCAATTGAGCTAACAAGCCAACTGGGAGCAGGCCGTTAAGTTGATTCGTAATAAACCCGTGATGATAAATCAGATACGATGAATATATGAAGTTCATATATTTTGAACTGCGGTTATAGATACGTATGATGCACGATCCTCGCAGTAGAGAGCGCTATTTATGCAATAGCGAAAATCAGACCTGAAAAAAATCATGCCTGTACGGGATTCGAACCACTGACCTCTGCGATACTAGTGCAGCGCTCTACCAATTGAGCTAACAAGCCAACTGGGAGCAGGCCGTTAAGTTGATTCGTAATAAACCCGTGATGATAAATCAGATACGATGAATATATGAAGTTCATATATTTTGAACTGCGGTTATAGATACGTATGATGCACGATCCTCGCAGTAGAGAGCGCTATTTATGCAATAGCGAAAATCAGACCTGAAAAAAATCAGGCCTGTACGGGATTCGAACCACTGACCTCTGCGAT